GTGAGACTGGCATAGGGGAAAGTGCCCTGGGTCTGGAGGGAAATAATCAGGGTCTGAGTTCCAGCCCTGTTGCTGATTGGCTGTATAGCTTTGGGCAACTTGTTTTATCTCCCTTTGATCAAGTTTGCAATTTGCAGGGACTAGACTAAGGTGACTTTGAAGGTCCATTCCAAATTGGACATTCTCTAGAACAAATATTTAACCCTCTCACGGGCCAACATAATGCAATACAGCATAGTTGAAAAAGAACCAGACTTAAAATCAGGATCTCTGTTCTCATTTATTATGTATATTTATTAGTCTATGTCTAATTTATATCATATGTATTTTCTTACATTTTTATATATTATAGAGCAGGTCTCAGCTCTCACATTTATTATGTATAACTGCAAACAAGATACTTAACCTCTGAGTTCCAGTTTCCTCATTTGTCGAATGAGTATAGTGACAATTTATAACATCTACTTTACAAAACTATTATAAAGAAAGCCTACATACAAGTGAATTATTATTGGCAAATATAGCACGTGCTTAACATATAGTTTAAGGAAGCAAATTTTTTAAAAAGGCACTAAGCATCCATATTAAAGAGTTTTGATTGCGACCTTTAATTCTGAAATTTCTTCAACAACTATGAAAGTGGGATTCTATTTGAAGCACATTTTGTTCAAAGTTCTGCTTTATTGGCTATGCCCTACTTCTATCTACTATGAAAAAAAGGACATTCAGCTCTTAAAATAACCCTACTTTCTGGCAGGCTAAATGCCTACTATTTCTTAACTGGGTTTATTAATGCCTTCCCCTGTGTATACAAGGAGCTCAGGAACCTGGAGTGCTCTGCTTTTAAACAGATATGCCACAGAGCCTACTCCTGATTCTTCATAGTTCTTAAAGGCAGATACAAGACATGCTTGCTAGCCATGTACTTTCGGGGGCCATTCTATATTCTCCAGATGTTTACAAATATAACCTGACATTTTGCTTTGTTTTCCATTTTCACTCAAATGTTGGGAGGCTCTATAGCCGTGGTCTCAAAGAGGGATTTCTTTTTATGAACTGGTATTTAACCAAACCACAGTGATGCCTCACCATTAGCTGTTTGGTCCTTGAAAGTCAATCCTGAAAACTCAGCTTCAGTCAATCATGCACAATTTTCATTTCCTAAAAAAACTAAGTGAATTGAGGACCCTCGGGCACAAGGAAGCTGAGAAAGATGGAGTTGCCAAAACCAGTGGACTGAAATGAAGTCCCAGGACCATCAGTCAACAACCTAGTCAAGAAAAGGGAAAGCTGAGTTTGGCAGAGAGAGATTTTCTTACAGCCTTTCCTATCCTAGTAATGATACCTTCAACTCTACCTCTCACACAAGTAATGTCTAAAATCTTTAGAAAATACTAAAAAACCTGTTTAGACCTTACTCCTTCTGCCCCAGAGTTTCCTTAATGGGACTTTGAAAAAATGCCACTAAGAGCTAATCTAAATCTGAAATGGTTTAATGCAAAGTCATTAAAAATAACATAAAAAGTATGCTCTTGAAAACAAAAATCTCTTAAGAATACATGTATTTTATAACAATAATTAGAACCCCACCAAATAGTCCTTGGTTTATACATCTGTGACAACTGCTTGGTCCCCCAGTTTGCTTGGAAGACCCTATGTTCCTTTCATCATATACTGCCCCCCAAAATATGCTTTATCCTAAAATATTGAAGAATATCTGTCTGCCATCCAAACTTTTTTTCCACAGGGTCATGTGTGTCTTCTTGTCTTCTTTTTGCTCTAACAATTCTAGAAAAGTCACTCTGACTCCTGAGCAAAAGATGGCCTCCAAGTAGAATGGCCTTCACTAAATTACTACCTATATGAGTAGATTTGCAACACTAGGTGTGCCTCCCTGCCTAGAAAAAAAAAATGCCCACCTAGGTCCTAGAAGTTCCGAAATATTACCAATCAGTCCATCTACTAGCATTTGTTAAGTGTCTACAATGTACCAGGAACTGTGCTAAGCTCTGGATATGCAAAGAAAAAGAAAAAACAGTCCCTTCTCTCAAGGAGCTCAAAGTCTAATGGAGGAAACAACAAACAAACAAGTATGTACAAACAGGTACAGACAGGAGAAAGAAGGTGGGTGGTAAATTCAAAGGGAAGGCACCAAGATTAAGGAAGATTGGGAAGGGCTTCTCGAAGTTGAGACTTCAATGAAGCCAGGAGGTAGACATAAAAAGAGAGAATTCCAGGCATGGGGCACAGGATGGAGTGTCATGTTCAAGGAACAGACAGAAGAGCATGGGGTGAGGGGACATAATGTAACTGAAAGGTAGGAAGAGGCCAGGTCATGAAGGGCTTTGAAAGTCAAGCAAAGGATTTTATATTTGATCATAGAGGATTCTTATTAGAGAGCTTCTAGAGTTTATCAGGGCAGCTAGGTGTCAAAGTAGATAGTGCCAGGCCTGGATCTGGCCTCAGACATTTGCTAGCTGTGTGAACCTAGGTAAGTCACTTAACCTTTTTGCCTCAGTTTCCTCATCTGTAAAATGAGCTGGAGAAGGAAATAACAAACCACTACAGTATCTTTTGGGGGGGGGTGAGGCAGTTGGGATTAAGTGACTTGCCCAGAGTCACACAGCTAGTGTTATGAATTCAGGTCCTCCTGACTCCAGGGCTAGTGCTCTATTCACTGCACCACCTAGCTGCCCCCTCACTCCAGTATCTTTGCCCAGAAAATCTCAAATGGGGTCACAAAGAGTTGGACATGACTGAAAATGACTGAACAACAACAACAAAGAGCTTATTAAATGGGAGAGGGGAATGGTCAGATTCTTGCTTTAGAAAGATCAATTTGACAACTGTGTGGAGAATAGATTAGAGTAGAGGAGGGCGTGGCAGGGAGACCACAGGTTATTGTACTAGTCTAATCAGGAGGTGATGAGGACCTATATCAGAGTGGTTGCACCTGGCATCTTCAAGGATTTGACTTTTGGAATCAGATCTCCTCAAAGAAAGAATCTGGTTGGTCTCCCTGACACAAATCTCCTTCCACTCCAGTCTATTCTCCATTCAGTTGTCAAATTGGTCTTCCTAAAACAAGAATCTGACCATTTGCCCAATCTCTCCCCAGCCCCACCCCCAGCCATCTAATGAACTCTAAAGACTCCCTAACAGGAATTCAAACACTATCAAGAGTTTCTCAGCAAATGAAAACTGACTTTTCATGTTTAATCCTGCAGCTCTCGGGCTACATCTTTTCTCTGGAAGTTGACAAAAATGGAGGGGGGCGGGGAGGGCATAAAAGAGCCAAAAGAAATACAAAGCCCTAAGGAACATGTAATATGATAAACAGCTCCAGTTCTAGAGAAATGAGCCCCCTGATTCAGGCAAGGAAATATCAGTCACATTTGGGAGGTGCCCTGCCAGCCAGCCTCTACGTTAAGATCTTCAGTGACAGGGAATTCACCATCTCCAGAAGCATCCCATTTTACCTCTGAACAGCTGTGACTATCGCACCCAGTTAAGTCAGTATTTCACAACCAAGGATCTTAGATCTAGAGATGGGAGGGACCTCATAGGGCATCTAATCAGAACACCCTCATTACAGAATGAGAAAATTGAGTCCATTAACACCTTAAAAAAAATCATTAAGGTTTTTTTCCTCCCAAGGGGAGGGATGTCACAGGTTCCACTAGACACCCGAAAGATAAGGCTTAATAAAATGTGCAATGCATACCTCACCCTGGTAAGAGATAAAATAGCCGTACTAACTGGACTATTATTTTGATAAATTTAGGCAAATTAACTTTCACTTTTCCCCTTCCCCCAAGATCCTAGTCCCCTGATCTGTTAGTTCTAGCCTTCTTGGAGTTTATAGGATCAGGATTTAGAACTGGAAGGGACCTAAGATCTGCTAGCTAACTCCCCTTATTTTGTGGATGAGGAAAATGAGGCACAGTGAAGTTAATTAAATTACTTTCCTGAGGTCACACAGTTAAGTGGCAGAGCCAGGATTTGAAACCAGGCCATCTGACTTGAAATCTAGGGCTCTTTTGACTATCCCATCTGAGTTGAAATGATTTATTCTTTGAGTTTGCAACACTGCCCATTTCTTCTCTCCCTTCGGTGCTATTCCATTCCATTCCTACTATACCCCTCTAAAGACAATTGGAGAATGGGGGGAATCACACCCCAGAGTCTCCCATCAACATTTTCATACCTGTGAAATCCAGTTGCCACAAACATCAAGTCAGCTGGAAAAGCAAAGTGTCTAAGTTGGATGGCTTAACCCCTTCCTTGGCCACCTTGGAGAAGAGCTAGGGGTTTAGATGTAAACTCCTTGAAGGCAATGACTGTTCTGGCTTTTCTTTTGTACCTCCAACACCTAGCACAATGCTGGCACGTAGTGAGTCCTTAATAAATGCTTGTTTCTTGAGCTGTTGACTGATTTTGCTTTAAAAGGCCTCAAGTCTTTCCTTTAGCACAAACTGATTACTCTCACCTCTCCTCACTGTCTATTCAGCAGGTGAGGGTAAGGGGTGGGGAGGGGTGGGTGACAAGGCAAGGTAGGGGTCCCTTATATCAATGGCCCCAGTGGCCCATCTGGTGAATCTTATTTCTTACTCAAAGTCAAGACAAACACTGAACATTTCATGATACCCCCCTAGAGGTAAATGGAGCCCTTCCTGTGATATCATAACACTGATCAATGACTTCTCATCAAATATGTCTGCACCAGCCCCTCACCCAGCCAACCACTCCCGAGGCTGAGTGAGGTCAGGGGCCTCCTGCAGCCCAAACTGCCTTCCTCCTAGGGTACCACGTCCGGGGAGTAGCTGGGAGGGAGAGCCCTAGTCCAAGGTCACCTCTCCAGCACCTTGTGGGGGGGGGCCACCAGGGCACGCCCAGTCTCCCCCACTTCGCTTAGCAACCCTAGGCTGGGGAGGGGCCACCCTCCTCCAGGGGCTCCGAGGCAGCCTGGAGGAAAAGCGACTCCCCATCCACCGGCAGCGTCACAGTGACGGGAAAGGGAGGAGGGAGGGAGGAAGTAGAGGCCAGTAGCTCAGGGAGACAGCAGCTGGAGCTGCAATAGCCACAGCATCAGCATTAGCCCCCGCCTCCTCCTCCCGCTCCTCATACTCCCTGTCCTCCTCCTCCTCCTCCCACTCCTGTTCTTCTTGTCCCCCTCATCTCTCCTCTTCTCTCCTCTCTTCACCCTTCGCTGGCCCCGCGACCCGGAAAGATGGCAGCCGAGGGGCTGCACGAGAACGAGACCCTGGCATCTCTGAAGAGCGAGGCCGAGAGCCTGAAGAGCAAATTGGAGGAGGAGCGGGCCAAGCTGCACGATGTGGAACGTGAGTGCGCGGAGCCGGGGTCCAAGAAGGGCGTGCACGAGAGAGGCGCGGGGGGCTGAGGCTGGATGGAGATGGGAATGGGGATGGGGATTGGGGTGGGGGGGGAGGGCTGAAGATCAGGGGCTGGGGTTGAAGCGTCAAAAGGAGGTGATGGCTGCAGCTCCTGCTGCTGCTGTTGCTGAATGACACTGGCCTCCTGCCTGCTCAGAGACCAGAATGTTTTTTCCCCTGGGTGGAGAACTCAGCTGGGTAAACAGGAAAGGCTCGTGCCCTTCGGCAGGGGAAGAGGACAATCTGGGAGCTGAGGGAAGGGAATGAAGGAGCGAGCGCTTGTAGCTTGCCCTTGGCAGAAGATTTTGAGGGAAGAGAGGGCAGTGTCCCTCCTGGAGATTGTCCTGGATGCAGCCCCTTGCAGCTCAGCGTAGCCTGTTGATGTGTTAAAAACAGGTTACCCTTCCCTTGACCCCACCTCCCCAAGGTGTTCCCTTGGGTATCATTCCCATTTCCGAGCTCTGCCCCAATAGGAGACCTGCAGAGAGAGACATCATTCGCACACCTTAGGGGTCATTGGAAGGCAGGAATGAATGCCCGCCTGAGGCTACCTCTGTGATTTACATTCTTTTCTGTGACCCACAAAATGTTTATGAAAGTCATATTTGGCTTGTGACTGTTGTGGTTAAAATAACCTTCCCACAGGGATTTATGTGGAGACTGTTATGTACCAGGGCCTCATAAATAATTGTAGGGCATACAAAAATGTCGGTAGCTGGTTAGAGATAGGGGAATGGAGAGAGAGTTGCAGATGGGGCCCAGTGGCAGCAAATAGGACCCCATCTCCCAAATTCGAGTGTAATCATGGCCCTTTGTTCCTGATCTAGACATACAATCACTGACCATGCAAAGCTAGTATGTTAATGTGCTTTGAGCTAAGAACTGGGAGCCTTGAGCTCCTAAATTCTTTTGGAGGCTCCCCAAATCAATTCTGATCATGGGTCAAATCTTATCAGTACTGTGCTCTTCTTCAGTGGGTGATTCTATCTCCCAAAACATAGATAGCTAAGTAAAAACCATTAAGACTGCTCATCTCTAAACTTCAAAGATTAAAATTACAATGATTGTTCTCTTCTTTGAGGAAAAATGTCAATCCCACAGATATCTTTGCCCATATTTTAGCAATAGTTGAGTTTTTGATACCTTTTTCTTTTCCACCTTTCTGCCATTTCTTTCCTTTGCATTTGATTTCAGAAAGAAAATAGACCAAGGTGAAACTCACTTTCGCAATTGTTTTGGTGCAAGAATGGGAAAAAACTTACCAATTTCTGAAATGTAAAATTGGTTGATTTAGGGTCAAATCAGATGCTTTGGAATAATAAAATTACAGTTTTGTTAGATAATAAAGCAGGAGAATAGAATCTTTTAAACAAATGCAAGCACTATTCACCACTAACAGAACTCAAGACAGGCCATCTATGACTGAGCCAATTGGATGACCATTTTTAAATGACTCTTGGATAAATCAGCTTGCTATTACCACTTTCTCTTTTGGCAAGGAATTTTTAATTCAGGAAGGCTTTAGAAAGGTATTCTTTTCTACCAACTTGCACAAAGATGATTCCAGAAAAACATTATATGCAGAATCTGATCTCTTCTACTCAAAAAGGCACAGTAGCATCCCACTGCCTTAAGCATAAAGCATTCAGCCCTATATTCAAGGTCCTTTACAATCTGGCTCCAACTTATCTTTCCAGCTGTATCTCATACTACCTCCTCTCATATATTATATATATACACATATATATATGGCCCCTGTCACTATCTATGTGACTTTGGGTGAGTTTGGGTTATTTAACACTCCTGGGCCTCATTTCCTCATCTGTAAAACCAGGGGGTTAAGGTAGAGGGCATCCAAGGACTCTTACCAGTTGTAAATCTATGAACCTGTGAATCTACTCCAGTGAGACTGGACCACTCATCTTTACGTAACAACATCTTACACTTACTTTTCTACCTACAGGATTTTGATAACATGTCAGAGTTAAAAGGGACCTCAGAGGCTCTGATATATATAATACAATCTATATCCAAGAGTAAGAGGGAATTCACTACCTGGTAGTTTATTCCATTTTGAGGGGATAGCTCAAATTGTTAAGAAGTTTTTCTTACTCCAATTGGACTAAATGTTCCTCTTTGCCCTTTCTACCCCCTTGTAGGAAACAGAACCAGTCTAATCCTTCTTCCATGGGAGAATCCTTCAAGTATTTGAGACAGTTATCTTACTGCTACTATGTCTTTTCTCAGAAAAGTTATGTTCATTTTTTTCTCCATACCTAGAACCCTCCCTTGTCAAAATCCTCAGTGTCCTTCAAAGCCCATCTCAAATACTACCTCCTTCATGACCAGATTCCCCTAGCTACATTAACCTCTCCCTCGGAATTCCCATGCAGCTTTTCCTCTCTCTTATGACACACGTCACATTTTGCTTTATATTATGTAGGATATCCCCTATAAATTGAATATGCAAATAAGAAGAGAGGTGATGGAGGAGTTGCATCAGTGGGACCAGTATCAACATGGACCAAATCATGGATCACTCAGTCAGCAATCATCCCTTAAGCATTTACTGTGTGCCAGGCACTGTGCTAGGTGCTGGGGATAAAAAAAAAAAAAGATACAAAAACAATGTATTTGCTTGTACAGGCTACCCTGTACCTTTGTAGTTCTTTTTATCTTCCCAGCAGGAAGTACAGGGCTCTGCATAGCCAATCAATCAACAAGCATTTATGAAGAGCTTACTCTGTGCCAGGGTACTGTTTTAGGTGCTAGACATGCAAAGATAAAAGGTGAAGCAATCGCTGCCCTCAAGGAACTTACTCACAATTTTATCAGGGGTAAACAACACCTACCATACTTGTTCAGTCATTTTAGCCATGTCCCACTCCTAACCCTTTTGGGGTTTTCTTGGCAAACATAAGAAGGGATTTGTCTTTTCTTTCTCCTGAGGTGGGGGTGGAAGTGGGAGAGAGTGAGATAGGACAGGAGAGAAGGTAGATTTTCATTAATTTAAAAAAACTCATCAATGTCCTTCCTAAATATTGGTGCCTAGAACTGAACACAGTGATCCATATGTGATCTGACCAGGACAGAAAACAGCCAGATCACAGCTTCCTTATTCTAAAATGCTCTCTCTTGCTCTCTTAACATAACCTAAGATTTCATAGCTTTTGTGGTCCCTTATTACACTTTTGATTCATATTGAACTTGAAATCCACCTAAACCCTCAAATTCTTTCAGACAAACCACTCTCTACTCAAATCCACCCCAACTACCACCACCACCAATCTGGTATTCATGAAGCTGATTTCTAGGTAAAATTTATCCCAGCATAGTTACATGACATAACATAAGTGCATTAGAGACTCACAAAATAAAATGCTATATGAGAGCAGAGAATAAAATTGTTACTGACTAGAGTGATAAAGAATAAGCTTTCTGGAGGAATTACTTTTTTTTTTTTGGCTAGGCAATGGGGTTAAGTGACTTGCCCAGGGGCACACAGCTAGTAAGTGTTATGTGTCTGGATTTGAACTCAGGTCCTCCTGAATCCAGGGCCGCTGCTCTATCCACTGCGCCACCTAGCTGCCCCTGGAGGAATTACTTTTGAGTTGGACTTTTTAAAGGGGTAGAAATTAAATGGGCTAAGAAAGGAAAGGGAAGGTTCCATACACAGGGAATAGAGTGTGATAAGGCATATTCAGGAAGCAGAGTACCGTCCAATTTAGTTGGAGCAAAAAGAAAAGTAATGTAAAGCTAGAAAAGTAGGTGCCAGACTATCTGGTACAAGTTGATGGGCAAGAATCATTAAGGATTTTTTTTAGTGGAGTGACAAGCATTTTTCAAACCATAAAGCATTATGTAAATATGAGTGCTTACTATTGTAACCAAATATGTAAATACAAAGATTATTCTGGCAGCAGTATACAGTTGTATTACAGCCAGAAAAAAATCCTTTTTTGAATTTATTCATGTGAAGTATAAAAAATGCCCCCTAAAAAAGGGTGCTAAAGCATAGCTAAGAAGTAGGAGTTCTGATTTTCCCCATTCAAAATAATCTGGTTTATCCAGGAAACATTCCCAATGTAATCCTTTTACATGTAAAATTCATCAGCTCCACATTTTAAATTGTCATTAAATGTGTCTTTTCAGAAGGATTATGTGCCTTGACAGCATGTTTAATCTTAGGTCAGTTCATCAATGACCTTACAGAACTGAGAAGTAGGACATTAGATATTTTTATAATATTTCACCTGCCTTGTACTTACTCAACATTTATATTTTTTCATATTAAAAAAACTATTGGGTTTTTTTTTAAGTCATGCGGTTCATGATTATAAAATGATCAGTAAATAACAGATTAATTCCAACCCTGGCTAAAGAGACCAAATCCTAATGGAAAGGATAGGCCTTCTCTAAATTATAACCTTAAAATGTCAGAGCTGGAAGGGACCACAAAGATCATCTTATGTTTTGCTTACATATGAGGAAGTAAAGTGAAGTGATTTTTCTGAGATGCCACAATGGTTGGCCCAGAACTAGAGACCAAGTCTTTCAACTTTTGTACTTCAGTTGGTGATTTTGTCATGTTTTGCGGTTTGAATATGGACCATCTTCCAAAGTGTCTAAGAGTACTATGGTTGAGGGAACCTTCCAGGCCTAGAGGGCCTGGTTGAATATCCTGCTTCTGAGAGCCAGAGACCCTACTGGTACAGCACTTCCCTTTCCCCTTCCTCATGCACATATACATCCCACCACCACAAAGAATTATGAGAGAGTTCCCTAGAGATGATTACTAGCTCCAAGTCAGATTGGCCCACTCCATTGCCTTGCAGGGCTCCTGATTATCCTGAACTCTACTATTCTTCTACTGAGTTCTAAACACAGAGTCATTCCCATCTTCCCTATAACTTTCCTTACAAGTTGGCCAGAAAATGATCATCTACTCT